ACTATATAGAGCCGAAAATCATTCATAAAACACCAATTTATATGCTTCTTCCTTCTCACATTTCTCTTAGTCTATACTCCATTTAGATATAATTTAGGCTTTAATTGGGGTAATCAACAATGAACAAACTGACAAATATGATTCTGCAGCTTTTTTTTTTTAATCGATTACACAATTTTACGGAATTGGGTCTTGATTTATTTCACAATCCCACTATTTTAGTGTTAGTTTTCTTGTGATTCTGCAATTATACTAAAATTGGAATTGATTCCACCAATCCGTATGTGAGAGAGCAACCCTTGCTTTTGTGGTTTTAGGTGTACCTCCAATTTGGTTACTAATCTAAAACTAGCAAATATTAGAAGTAATACCACTAATTTCTTACAAGTATTTTGTTATTGTTTAACGTTAAAATAATAAAACTTTCTTATATGCCGATTCCTACAACAACAACTATTACCATTTTGCAATTGATTTTAGGACAATTCCACCATTGCTAATAGGAAACTATTATACTTGTATCTTAAATATATTACGATTGACATGTCTAACGTAACTTATATAGAAAATTGGAGTTTTTTTTGTTGGTCTATTTTTAGCCTTGACTATTGAAATAATTTGTTGTGAATTGTGATACATACATAATAAGTAAAACTTTTTAAGAGCGCGTAGAAAGAGTGTGTGTACGTACTATTGTTGTAGTATTGTGTTTACTTGGCAAGTGGAGAGAGAAGAGAGTGTCTGGTGTGGTTTGGATCTTATGTAAAATACTCTCTCACAAGCTTCTGTCTCTGTATCACATGTCTCTTCTCTGTTGTCTTCTTCCACTATCCTCTCACTTTCTGATTTTTCTCAGAAATCCACACTCAAGCTTTAAAGTAGAGTCTGGTCAGGTATATAAGAAAAATACTATTATTATTAAAATATTTTTCCCGTAGGATTTGGTATTGGATTGAAGAGTATTTTACACCAAATTGTGAGTTCTATTCATTTTCTGTAACTACGGATTATATATTGGAAAAGCGACACCACCACTCAAAACTATTATCGGTTTTAGTCAACAATTAACACTTAATTTACTTTATAGATCAGAATTGTTTGGTTATAACTTTATTCTATATATTGGCCTCATCATTATAATCATTCCAAATTTTTGATTTTTATTTCAAGCTGATGTGATATACGACTGTTCTTCGTTTGTTTAGTTTGAAAATTGAAGATGATAGAGATGTAATTAAAAGAACCGTGTGATCAATGAATAATAACAACTATCAAATCTGTCTCTTCTTTTTCTTATTTTTTCTTCTTATAGATGCCTCATTTTTTAGTGAAATAATTCTACTGTTTTGTTCCACGATTCTCCATATCCCCTATTATTTCTTTGATTTTGCGATGCAAGTGAAAAGTTACTGTAGTTTTCACTTTTCACGGCTCGATATCCACAAATAGTTTATCACGAGTACTATCACCTCTTTCGTGTCAACCTCAAGAAATAAAAGTGGTTCTTTTTTTTCCTTTCATTTTTTCCGACAAAAAGTGGGTTTTAATTCTTAAACAAATGCACCATTTCACAAGATGACAAAAGCTAAAACTCTTATGTTGATAATTACATATTTTTCTCCATTCCATGATGTTTTGATTGGTAATCTTGCACTGCTGCGGTATAAAATAACCGTTTTTTTTTATCAATCACAAAAGCGGTATTAAGTTTTTCTATCAAAAGTGTTACATTCGATATCTTTTATACCATTTTTTTTACAACTACTTCTTATATCTTTACACTATTTTGTAACTATGTACTGTTTCAGTTTACAGTTGAAAAAAATATACCGTTTTAAGTTATCAATCAAACCCAATAAATATTAGAAAATAAAAATGTTGAACAAAATTTTAAAATAAAAGCCCATTATATCTTATTGTTTTAGTTTAGTAATTAGAGAAATAGAGTAAGAGAGATAATATAAATTCTACTCTTAATAATTTGTGATAAATCCAAAAATTACACTTATAGTGAAAGGAGAGAGTATATTTTGTGGTTGAATTTAAATTTAAGGTTTTGTTTTTCTACACAATCTTTATGTGTAACTTTAAAACATAGTTAATGTTGTTTTATCCTCTCGTCTTTTGCGACAATCCCTAATTACAAATGGCATGTAGAAATTTGAGAGCACGAGTCCCTGCGAAGGGCATGCATGCATCCCTATATTTTATTTAGTTTTTTGGCTAAAATATTGTATACTTTTATTGGTTTCTTGATTAAATGCGACTTTCATTGCACGTGCCTCTCGAATCGTTTCACATTCGCACGACCTTGTTTATTTTTTTTTTATAGTCTTTTGTCAGTTTTAAATTTGGAAGTATTGATTTACTCGTTTATCGATCGATTAGTTTATTTAGTCTGTAGTTTTTGTTTGCAAATTTTTCTTGAGAAAAACAAATGTATCGATGTTGGAATCCACGTTGTAACGAGAAGAGTGACGTTTAAGCCTTCCTAGACAACCATTTTATTATTCAATAACATTGTTGGGTTTTGATTTTCTAGAAACCTTAGTAGATCTTTTTTTCTTCCTTTTTTCACAAGCCTTAGTTTAGAAAAAGACATCAGTAAATATTATAGTAACATACCCTCGCTTTGTATTTTTTCTTCGGAATGGACTTTTTTTTTCTTGCTAAATATTTAAGTTTCACCAGTAGTTTAGAAAAAGACATCTTACTAATGGTTTGTTCATATGAAAAGCCAAGGACATCTCTAACTCCACTTTATATCTCATTATATTTTAGAATAAAATTCTCTCAAACTCTATTTCATTTTCATTTCTAAAATAGAGTAAACCCGTTTTTTTCTTTCAAATATGGAGTAATTTTATGTTCCATCTATTTTGGAGTTGGACATTTTTATTTATAAAATGGTCTTTCAAATTTTAATGATTTCATTTWAGAGATAAATAATTATTTTGGTGATAATTTTCTGTTTGTTTGATATTTTTTTAATTAAAGATTTACGAGATTATCAAATTGCAACAAAATAATTATATTATATTATAATGTGTGAAATTGTAACGTATGAGTAAGTTATTTTTGTTAAAAATGTGTATGTATGTCTAGGTTAATATATGTTATTATGAATTTAAATATTAAAAAGTTTATATTTTAAAATTACTATGTATGTATGTGTAAATTAATATAACAAAACATAGTCCATATTTTAAAGTTTTCTCTTGGGTTAATGTTGTTTATAATCGACCTTTTGGTGATGTAATCAACCTTTTTGGTGTATTATTATAATTTGTCAAACTTGTGGTGTATTATAACTCTACAAGCTAATGAAATCGTTTGTCAAACTTGTGGTGTTTTATAAGTTTATAACTCTATAAGCTAACCAAATTGTTTATGGACAAACAAAAATCACTCATATGTGTATCTTCAATCAAAATTTCATGAAATACCTTGACATGAGTAAATTTTTGAATAACCTAAGGCAGTAATGCTTTTTTCTCTTCAAGTAAATTAGTGTCCTTTCGCATTAGGAGATTAATGTTTTTGGCTAACTTTAATAATTAAAAACTGTTAACGTATTAGGAGAAAAAAGAAGATCACTGTTTATTACTTAACTAGTACGTCGAATATCATCGATTTCTTTGTTGTGTTTTCGGTGGGTTATTAACATAAACAAAAGATGCGGAAAAGTTTAGGACTGTCACAATCCTGGCCACCGTTTTTGAAAATTTGTAAAGACTATTATCAACATAATTATGATATGTGTTCTAATTAGTAGATAAAGCATGATTTGATCTAATTAATAGTGCAGTAAGTAGTGATTAGATTGTTCTTACTCGATCGTATTATTTTTCCACTTAATTTGCGGTTGATTAGTAATTGTGCCTTCCACCTTCGGGTATCTTTTTAACTCATGTACTCCCTAATTATTCCCTATCATTATTAATTTTAGCTTTGCCATTTTGTTGAAATATTTAGCCAAAATCGAGAATAGCCTTTAGTAGCCTTTCATGACAGAAAATCATTTTAAATTTTTATTTATATCTGTCTCGAAATTTTATTTATATATGTCTCAAAATTTTGTTTCAATTAATCTTCATGAAGTAGTTCTATGTTTATGCATTTCTGTAATTATCCTCACAAATTATACAATTATTCGGAAATATTCTTCTAAATTAGTAGCAAAACAATTTTTTTTAGTAATTAAGTCATTACAATTTTTGTTTTCTCTAAAAACAAACTGGTACATAAAGTTGGGAAAAAACGTTTTGTTGGGATCATGGAACTACTTGGAACAACACAATAATTAATTGCTTGATGCTGACATTTGGTACATAGAGTTGAGATTCAAGAAGTTATATACTTCAAAAAAAATTTAAATAAAAACACGTGAATACAGTATAGGAGAAGAATTACTTCAAAG